AATATGCTCTTTAATGATTTGTAATGTAACATTCCGGGCGCTGACGAGGGCGGGGGTAGATATTTCTTTAGCATGTGGGCCGAGTTATACCACCAGTCCAGATAAAGCCCAGTGTCTGGCTTCTAACCCGCTAAGGTGGGAGAGGTTCTGACAGTAAAAAAGACTCCTGGCATGCTTCTAGCGGGAGGGGTACATGTATTAATCGAATAACACCCAAACGAGAGAGATTCAGAGGCTGTGTAGGTATGAGACTATATAGTTGGGGATTGAGCTACCCTTGGGGGTTGTACACTATTGGAATTTTCAAGTGTGATGGAGTCTCACATTGATTGATAATAAATTAAGTGAAGCGGATATAAATTGATGGACTCATAAACCCAATGCCTTAAGGTTTTGGGCTGTGACATGGTGTCGGACCCACTTGGTATAGTTGGTCTAACTTAACCCTTTGGCGTGAGACCAACGCCATATGCTTCCACCGGACCCGCCGGACAATGGTATCAAAGTCGGGTTGGGCTCGGGCTAGCCTGATGATTGGCTAGGGCGGGTTGAGTATTTTAGCCTAGTTACTCGGTTGAGGGGGAGCATACCTATGATGGATTTCACACTTGTGGACGACATTGTTGGGATATTCAAGTGTGATGAGTTCCACATTGGTTGGGAATGGGCTAAGTGAAGTGGATATAAGTGGATGGACCCATGAACTCAATACCTTAAGGTTTTGGGTTAAGACATGGTGTCGGACCCACTTGGTGTGGTGGATCTACCTTAGCTCATTGGTGGTGGTCCCCTCACGGGCTCCTCCTGGTCCCGCCCGACAGTGGAATCAAAGCAGGGATGGGTTCGGGCTAGCCTTGGTGATTGGCTAGAGGCGGGTTGAGTATTTGAGCCTAGATACTCGGGTGAGGGGGAGCATACCAATGATGTGTTTCACACTTGAAGGGGAGATTATTGGGATAAACGAAAGTGTGGTCAGTCCCACATTGGTTGGTAATGAGCTAAGTTAAGTGTATATAAGTGGGAGGACCCATGAACCCAATGCCTTAAGGTTTTGAGTTGAGATGTGGTGTTGGACCCACTTGTTACAATTGGTGTAGCTTAGCCCATTTATGGTGGTTCCCCATCACGGGCTCTTCCTGGACCCGCCTGACAGTTGTATCAGAGCCGGGTTGGGCTCTAGCCAGCCTGGTGAAGGGCTACGGGCGGGTTGAGTACTTGGTCCTGGGGTATCAGTTAAGGGGGAGCATACCAATGGTGAGTTTTACACCTGAAGGGGGGAATGTTGGAATATTCAAGTATGATGGAGTTCCACAATGGTTGATAATGGGCTAAGTGAAGTGTATATAAGTGAGGGAACCAATGAATGCAATGCCTTAAAGTTTTTAATTGAGATATGATGTCGGACCCACTTGCTAGCATTGATGTGGCTTAACCTATTGATGGTGATCCTCCGCCATGGGCTCCCCTTGGACCTGCCTGATAGTGGTATTAGAGCCGAGTTGGGCTCGGACTAGCCGGGTATTTGGCTAGGAGGCAGGATGAGTACTTGGGTCCTGAGGTACTCGGTTAAAGGAGAGCATATCAATGTGGAGTTTCACACTTGAGGGGAAGATTGTTGGAATATTCAAGTGTGATGAGTCTCACATTAGTTGGTAATAGGCTAAGTGAAGTCCATATAAGTGGGGAGACCCATGAATCCAATGCCCTAAAGTTTTGGGTTGAGATATGGTGTTAGACCCACTTGCTACGGTTGATATAGCTTTTGTGTGTGGAGATATTCTAATCGGTTTATCACTTCGTGAATATCTGATTCGGGGCGGGTCTCGGGATTAAGAATTTAAACTCCTCCCAAAGACGATATTGGGGAGGATCGAGCACATGCTCTCACCCTCCACATGCTCAGTTTTCTGGCGTTAATTGAACTACCATCATTTAGTACGGTTGATGTAGCTTTAGCCTATTGGTGATGGTCCTCTGCCGCGAGCTCCCTTTGGACCCACCTGACATACACTCCATGACTTTCTTGAAACAATCACGATATTCAACTCAAGTAAACGAGATAAATGACTTTTTTTTTTGTTACAATTAGTTGGGTGTCATTTGCCAATCATCAATATTTGAACATTATTTACTATTTGCATTACAAAAATTTCTATTCTTTGGGCGCTCTTGTCTATTACTGATAGTCGCTATTGCTTTCTGTTTTTCTTGAAGGTAATTTAATTTAAATGTTTGACAACAATCTACAAATTGCATTATAAAAACTCTCAAATCTTAGAATTTTTTTGTCTACCTTCGGCATTTATTGTTGCTACTAGTTTCTTATTTTTATTGTTTGGTAATTATTTTCAATTAGAATTATATTTAAATTTTCACTGGAGGATGCACATTGATATACCATAAATTTTTAGCGTCTTCTGACTTAGGATTCTCATTTCATTGTAATTCTTAAAACCATCTTAAAGTGATTAAGTCCATTAGGATTACTTGTTTACATTCCACTTTTAGAGCTTACTGTATTAATTAGTTTAAAACAAAAACCAAAACAAAAGAGCCTTAAGGATTGTTTGTCTTATTGTGGTCTATTTGAGTCTTCAATAACTCTTTATATTATAATACCAAATGCCTAAACAAAAACGAAAATAAAAAAGATTAAGTGAGAAAAGGTTGCCGATTGTTTGAGAATTATTTTTAATTGTTATTTTTGGTTTTAATTTTAGGTCATTAATTCTTCATATTTTCCTTTTAGATTCCTTGTTTGTATTTTGTCTTATATTTTATGGTTTTTCAGCTCATACAACCCAAAAAACTCAAAGAAAATTAACGAAAATAAAAATAAAAAGATTGCATTAAATGTTTTAATTCCCAGTGTTTTTGGCTCAAAAAACCGAGAAAGTTAAAAATAAAATAAAAGGAACAAGAAAATGATGCACGCATATTGTTTGCCTCACATGTTCTTGTTATTTCCAGGTTATGCAAAACCGAAAAAAAGAAAAGAAAAGTTGTTTCAGAATTCTCTATCCATCCTTGCTGTCTGTTTAAGAATTATTTTAATTTTATTTTGGTTGCAGAATTTGCTTATTTGCTCCCAGGTTATACTCTTTAATGATTCATAACATGTTTGGAAATAAATTGTTTGAAAAAATTAACCATTTTTTTAAGCATTCTTAAGAAACTTTAAATTAAAAATATTTTTAATCTTAAAATAAATTAATCTAAATATACAATTAATATTTTTATGTGGTATGTTTTGTCAACGCTTTATTTTTAGCAGACCATAAAAAATTAAAATTTAATTAATATAAAAGAGAAAATAATATCAAAATTAATCATTTTTTTAATTTGCTTTGTTTGAATTATTCCATTTTGAAGAAAATTTCATTTATTAATTAAAATTAGGAAAAAGTTAAAAAGAGAAATCATGGTTTTGCTTTGAATTATTTACACCTCTATGCTTTTTCTTTAATCATTTGCCCCCTATGATTTTTCCTTCCAAACTCATTTTTAACATTGTTAGCAATTAAACTAATCTCCTTATTTTACCCTTCTTAGTAAAAGAAAATAAACTTATCACTAAATAAATAAAGTAAAAGAAGAAATAAAACCAAATATATTAAAAATTTATAATACTTGTAGAAAATTTTATTAAAAAAATGAAAATAGAAGAAAAAAATCAATTAAATTTAAATCATAAATAACAAAATAAACTGAGGTAAAAAATGAAAAAAAATTAAATATGTTGAAAACTTACAACAGTAGTAGCAGAAAGACTAAAGTAAAAAAAAAAAAATGAAAACAGTCTAAAAAAGAAATCAAACTAAAGACGAAAAAGAAATATAAAAAAAAATAAGACTAAACATGTTTATGTAAAAAAAGAAAAATAGATAGAGGAAAAAAATATAAAAAAGTAACACCAAATACGTTTGAAATTTAGAACATCGATCTCTTTTTCTTTTTTTCTAATTTTTTCTTCCATTTTTTTAACAGTGGTAGAAAATATTAAATGTGAAAAAAATAAAAATATAAGAAAAAAAGATCAAACATAACTGAATCAAAAAGAAGAAAATAATTTTAGGACAAAAAAACAAATACAAGAAAAAACAAAACCAGACATGTTGGAAAGTTTGAGGTCAATTAGATTTTTTCTTATTCATAATTATTTTTTATTTAGCTTTGTTTTTTTTCAATTTTACTCTTTTCTCATCACTATTGCAGGTTTGAACATATTTAATTTTTTTTTCCAATTTTATTTTGACCTCAATTTATTTTCTTCTTTTTTGTTTAAACATATTTAATTTTTTCTTCTATTTTTTTATTTTTATCTTTTCTATAAGTATTATAAGTTTTCAATATATTTAGTCCTATTTCGTCTTTTATTTTATTTTTTTGTCATAAGTCTATTTTCTATTTCTAAGAAGGGTAAAAATAGATAGATTAATTTAATTTCTATCAATATTAAAAATTAGTTTGGATGGAAAAGACTATTTGGGGAATGATTACAAAAAAGCACAGGGATGTAAATGATTCAAAGAAAAATCATAAGAGAGTTTTTGAACTTTTCCCTTAAAATTAACCAAAGTACAACTTTTTACAACATTGCTTGATTTTGAATTGCCTATTCTTTAGCTAGTCAAATTGTATGTTTTTTGTAATTTATTCTTATATTGTAACTTGTAAATATTTTAATTCAAATGCTACCTTTAATTTATCCTTGTAAACCTTGTGATTTCATCAATGATAATTGATTATGTGTTTATTTATCCTTTTTTTTTTGTGGTCTATTTATCCATAGGTGAGCATAAAATTCTTTAGCAAGTCAAATTGTATGTTTTTGTAATTTTGTCTTTTGATTTTTGCTTTATTTATCTTATAAATTGTAAATGTTTGAATTTAGGAACCAAATGTGCTTTCGAAATGTTTCCATCATCTTATCCTAATCCAAAATATTGTTTGTTCCTTTCAGACTTGAGTCATAAGGAAGAAAGGTGACAAGAGAAGCAATGAATTTTCTAAATGTAATAAAGTCGGTTGCTGAAAAAGTTGGAGCGTATGCTTTTGTGCCTATTGTAGAGCATGTAAGTTATTTGATATTTTACGAAGGTAATTTCAAGAAGTTAGAAGATCATGTTAAGGAACTTGAGGTTGCAAGAGAAAGAATATATCATTCGGTTGAAGAAGAAAGAAGGAACGGAAAAGAAATTGAAACTGATGCGCAAAACTGGCTGAAGAAGGTGAATGAAGTCATTGTAGACGCTAATAAGCTTCAAGAAGATCCTGGCCGTGAAAATGTTGGGTGTTCTGAATGGTTGTTCCCCAATTTGTTTTTACGACATCAACTTAGCTTGAAAGCAACAAAGATGACAAAAGATGTTGTTGAAGTACATGGAAAAGCAAAGTTCGATCGTGTTGGTTACCTTCCTCCCCTGGATGGAGTTGGCTCCTCTTCTGGTACAAGTGGTTGTGAAAAGCTTGAGACAAGAGAGTCAATTAAGGAGGGCATTATGAAGGCTTTGAGAGACCCTAAAGTATGCAACATTGGGGTATATGGGCTAGGCGGTATGGGTAAAACCCATTTGGTTAAGGAAGTTTCTCAAATAGCTAAGCTAGACAAGTTGTTTGATGCAATAGTTATGTCCAATGTATCCAAAGCCCCGGACCTCAAAACGATTCAAGGGGAGATTGCAGATTTGTTAGGTCTACGATTTGATGAAGAGACTATTGCTGGAAGAGCATACCGCTTAAGGCGGAGAATTAAAGCTGAGAGATCTATCCTTGTCGTTCTAGATGATATCTGGATGAGATTAGATTTGGAGAAAGTGGGAATTCCATCTAGGGGTGAACACAATGCGTGCAAACTGCTGATGACTTCCAGGAATAAAGATGTGTTGCTAGAAATGAATGCGGAAAAGGATTTTAGAGTTGAAGTTTTGAGTGAAGCAGAAGCTTGGAGTTTGTTTGAATTTATGGCTGGAGATGTAATTAAAGATATCACTTTACACAATGTAGCAACTCAAGTGGCCAAAAAATGTGCAGGTTTTCCTATTCGCCTGGTAACGGTAGCAGCGGGGTTGAAAAATAAGGATATTTATGATTGGAAAGATGCATTAAGGCAATTGGAAAGTGTTGATGATGCAGAGATGGAAGCGATAACTTATTCTGCTTTGGAGATAGGTTACAAATTATTGAAGAGCGATGAAATGCAGGCACTTTTCTTGCTTTTTGGTGTAATGTATGGAGAAAAAATGGAGTACTTTCTGAAAGTTGCAATGGGTTTGGACATATTCAAGCATATGAGTACTGTGGAAGATGCGAGAAATAGACTTTACAAAATAATTGGATCCTTGAAGTCATCTTGTCTGTTGCTTGAAGGTAATACGCGGGAGCAGATCCAAATGCACGACCTTGTTCGTGAAGTAGCTATCTCCATAGCTTCAAGGGATCAATATGTATTTGTGATGCAATCGAAGATCGAGTTGAAGGAATGGCCAACAAAGAATTTTCTAGAACGGTGCACACAGATCATCTTAGACCGATGTCATATCCACGATCTTCCTGAAAGGTTAGATTGTCCTAATGTGAAATTTTTCTATTTGTCTAGTGCTAATCTTTCTTTGGAAACCCCAGATACTATTTTGGAGGGAATGAGAAGCCTGAAAGTGTTAGATTTAACATGCTTGAACATGTCTTCATTACCCACTTCTTTTCGGTCCCTAACCAAACTTCATACATTGTGTTTGGATCAATGCATTTTGGAAAAAATGGACGAAATAGCGGCTTTGAAAAATTTAAAAATTCTTAGGCTTTGCAAATCTTCGATGATCAAATTGCCAAGTGAAATAGGGAAGTTGACGCAGCTTAGAATTCTTGATTTGAGCCATTCTGGAATTGAATTCTTTCCACCCAACATCATATCAAGCTTGACTAAATTAGAGGAGTTATCCATGGGCAATACCTCCATTAAGTGGGAGGTTGAGAATCCAACAAAGCAAAATGAAAATGCTAGCCTTGCTGAGCTTCGAGAATTGTCTAACTTGACTGCTCTAGAATTACAAATTCGGGAGGCTTGGATTTTGCCAAGGGACTTGACGTTTGAGAAGCTCGAAAGATATAAAATAGTTATAGGAGATGTATGGGAATGGTTTGACATTGAAGATGTAACCTTGAAAACATTAAAGCTCAAACTTCGTTCCAACATACATTTGGAGCATGGGATTAAAGCATTGATAAAAAGGGCTGAAAATTTGTACTTGGATGAAGTAGATGGAATTTCGAACGTGCTTTATCAATTGAATGGGGAAGGATTTCCATTGTTGAAGTACCTCCACATCCAAAATAATGCTAAAATGATGCACATAGTTGACTCTATGGGTAGGAATCAAGTCCAAGTTTTGTTTCTCAACTTGGAAACACTAATACTACACAATCTTAAAATCTTGGAGAAGATATGTAATGGCCCACTTGCCGTTAATTCTTTTAGCAAGCTTAGAGTCATTAAAGTGAAAAATTGTATCCAATTGGAATATCTTCTCTCCTTTTCAATGATTAAAGGACTATCCCAACTTTTAGAGATTGAAGTTTGTCAGTGCAATTCTATGAACAAGATAGTGTATAGAGATTGCGATGCAAGTGCAGAGAAAGATACAATTGAGTTTCTTTCGCTACGTTCTTTGACTTTACAACATTTGCAGACACTTGATAATTTCTTGTCTTATGAGTTGATGTCCTCCATAACCGAGCATCAATTGTCAGAGACTAGTGTTCCTGTACCGTTTTTTAGTTCTCAGGTATGTTATTTTGCTCTTATTCTTATTTCAATGCAAATGATAATATTTTAAATTTATGACATGCATAATCTCACACAGAGACTAGTTAGTTGGCAAATTGACAAGGTTCGTAAATAAATATATATTTGTTGAGACATTTATGCGTTTAGAAATGGAGGATGTAAAATATATACATAAATATCACTACAGGAAAATAATACTTTATTCTAAACATTCTAACATACATTGAGTCATAAGAAGAAGACATAAACTTGACTTACAGAATAAACTTGAATCACGGTTGACAAAATAATATGCACAACCACACGAACTACTTAGTTGACAAATTGACAAGTGTTGCAAATAAACAAATAGTTTATGCTGAAATTGTTGGTGAGGCCAATATCTAACCTTAATAAGATATAGTATGAGTTAGAGTCAAATCGAACCATGAAACTTGATCTTATAAGGTTAAGTAGAACTAGAAAGAGTTTCGTCCAATGATAGTTGACATGCAGAACTACACCAACTAATTAGTTGACAAATTAACCAGTGTTGCAAATAAACATATAGTTTATGCTGGCTGATATTGTTGGTGAGGCCAATGTCTAGCCATCATAAGACGTAGTATATAGGGGTGTAAATAGGTTGGACTGGGCTAAGCTTTGCCTTAAAGAGGTCAGACATGTGTAAAATACTTTAGGCCTGACTTGGTTGGTTAGCCTTGTATAAGTCAGACCTATATCTAAAAAACAAAAAGCATAGGTCTGTTAGCCTGTTTAAGCTACTAGGCATTCAATAATTAAAAAATTCAAATAATATTATTTTATTATTCAAAATCATTAAAATAATAATTGATTTATTTTATTTAAAATAAGAGTAGACACCCTTTTGGGTCCTCAACAAAAAACACTAAATCCATTTTAATCTCTTAGAAAAAAAGTACCTATTTTTTTTTTTGAGGGACTATTGTGGGTCTTCTTTGAATTTCATATGGAACACAATTTCTAAGAACTGGAATTTCAGATGGACTACAAGTCGACTTTTTTTTTCCTAAGGAATTAAAATAGATTTCGTGTTTTTTGTTGAGGACCCAAAAGAGTGTTTACTCTTAAAATAAATAATATGGTATTGGCGGCCTTTAGACTTATAAGCTCGACATAGAAAAGAAAGCCTATGGCCTAGTTTCTATTTAATTATATGTAATAGGTTAAGTCTGACTTGATGCAGACCGAGCCGTAAGCCACTGTTAGGCCAACTGACCCCCTAGTAGTATGGGTCGGAGTTAAATCGAACCATGACACTAGATCTTATAAGATTAACTAGAAAGTTTTGTTGTGATTAACATTTATAGGTTTTGGCATATTATTATTGTTATTATTATTAATAGAAATAAAATAGATTTAATTATTTAAAAAATCGTAAGAACAATTATTGCATCTCACACAAATTAATAATCTTAAATTATTTAAGTGTTTATACTTTTTGGTATTTTTCAAATAAGTCCATATGTTTTTAAAAATTATTCATTAGTTTTATGTTTTTTAAGTCCTTATATGTCACGAGATATATTAGATGTGCGAAATAGACTAACCCTCTAAAATCTTATTAGCGCTACATGGTTATTAAAAAATAATAATAATAATCCCCAAGATTATAACATTGTGAAAAAAAAATGTAAACATAATTAAATTCTCAATAAACTCATAAGTCACTAGTCCAATCTTTTTTTTGTTGATATTGACTAGTCCAATCTTTTTTAATTTGACTATCACTGTCTTTTTTATTTGTAAATACCAACTTTTTCATCTAAACTTTTTAATTTCTGTACAAAATAAATGTACGAGATACACATCAGTAACAATAAAATTTCAACATTAATTACCAATCCAAATACTTACCTAAAATTGCATAAATGCAATAACTTACTACAAACAAAATCCCAAATACATAAAAAGGACTCAAAATATACATTTGCATTGAATACAGGAACTGGTCAACTCGTCTTCATTTGCTTGTTTGGTTAGATCAAGCGAGAAGGGTCAGAACAACCCCAATTCTTGTAGATAAATTTTGTAGCAAACCTACATTAACAGTTGTAGGAAACTTGGACCTAATTTAAGATTTATGAATGATATGGGGATTTTAAAAATTTGTAGTTCTAGTTCAATTCTTATTGTCTCAAATTTTTTAATTATATCTTTATAGTTTCAAGATTTTTTATTCAGCTTTCTGCTGAATCTAATCAATAGGCACCCAAATACAAATTTTTAAAACTATAGGGACAATTTGCAAATTCTTAAATTATAAAGATGTATTTAAACTTTCTGAAAAAGTATAGAAACCTATAAATTAATTTAGCCTACATAATATTAATAAGAAAAAAATATTTAGCATAATAAGTATGGAAAGAATAGAAAAGTAACCTATCCTGAGCTTTATGTCTTTTAAGGTGTGCATGACAACCTTTCCAGAATTAATATATATTTTTTTTTCAATTTTTGTTCATGGGAACAGAAATGGATAGAAACAATGTTTGACAAAAACGGTTTATTTTTTTATTCCCGATAAGGAACTGGTTCAATTTATGTGCTCGGGAGTAGAAAAAAGAATAAAAAAATTTATGTTTTTTTTCTTTCCGAGCACAAAATGAGAAATATTTTTCTCTCTAATCACTTTTCACCACTACTATCATCACCACCACCACCACCATCATCCTGATACGAGCACCGCCACCATCATCGTACCACTACCACCACCACCACCACAATGCCACCACGCCATCGCCATCACCATCACCTCCACACCACCGTCACCATCACTATCACTATGCCATCGTCACCACTACCACCACTACTATCATTACCGTCACCACCACTATTACTACCACCACGATACCACCATCACTATTACTACGCCAACACCATCGCCACCATTACCATAACCATTGTCGCAGCCACTGTCATTACCACCACCACCGCCACCACCATCACCACACCACCGCCACCATTACTACCACCGTCGCCACCACCACACCACACCACACCTATGAAAAGAAAAGTGATAATCCGAAATTTTTTTATACTTAATAGGAATGATTTTTTATTCTATTATTTGTTGTGTTATCAAGCACAATTCTCACTCTCGGAATAAAAATAGAATTTGTTATCAAATGTTATCAAACACATTTTTTTTTTTCTGAGAAACTATTCCAAGGCACAGTAATAGAAAAGAAATGTTTCTTTTCAAAAACAGTGCTAGAGAACAGAATGATTGTCATACACACCTTTAAAATTGAGGTTTATGTTTGATGTTGAGGAAAATAATGTAAGGTGAATCATAATATTATGAACAAAATCATGGTTTATATTCGATGTTGAATATTAGATATTTAATAGAGCTGTCAGTGTAAGATTTCTTAGCACTTCATTCAATGATATATTTTCGAAATCATTAAATATGCTTGACTATGAAAATAACTACTTGAAAACTCAAACTATGTTAATAGTAGTGAACTGAAGGATCGATTTGAAAGTTTTAGAAAGTTCGAGAATTTTTCATCACGATCAAAACATATAAAATGTCTATGCATATTTTTCCTTTTTAATTTGACAAGTGATATCTTTATATCCATAAGTAGTAGTTGATATAACTATTTAATCTTTTTTGTTTTGCATGATTAATCATGGATCTAACATTATACAATGCCAAGAAAACATGTATAGCTATTGAAATGGGTAATGCCCATCATAAATATCCCTATAGCCTGTCAATTACGATTTTTGTTAATTTGTTTATATGCAGGTTGGATTTCCTAATCTGGATACCCTTAAGTTGAGCTCACTCAATTTGAACAAAATTTGGGATGACGGTCAACCTTCTGTTTCCAAATTGACAAACTTGATTGTTGAGAATTGTGGTGGGCTTAAGTACTTATTCTCATCCACCATGGTTGGAAGTTTTATTAACCTCAAACGGCTTGAAATCAGTAAATGCCATTCGATGGATTGGATAATAGCCACTGAAGAGAGAAACAATGGTACTGCTTCACTAAATGAGGTATGGTAATTCTGACGTTTGGAACAATATTACAATTCTGAACTTGCATTTATAAAAATATTTATCATTGATACAAGTTAATTATTTATGATTTCATGAATTTTGAATCATAGGTGCGATTCTCCAAATTGGAGACAATCATATTGAAGGACATGGAAAACATGAAGACAATATGGCACTGTCAATTTGACACAGTGAAGGCGTTGCAAGTTAAAAACTGCAAGAAAATTGTAGTGGTTTTTCCTTCTTCAATCCAGGAAACATACCATAACTTAGAGACGTTAGAGGTTACTGAGTGTGCTTTAGTGGAAGACATATTTGAATTGACTTTGAATGAAAAGAGCAGTATAGAGGATGGAACACAACTGAAAAGCATTACTTTAGAAGCATTGCCAAAGCTGAAAAGGACATGGAGCAGGGATCCAGAAGGAATTCTTCATTTTCATAATCTAGAAAATGTATTTCTAAGAAGTTGTGAAAGCTTGGACTATCTATTTCCATTTTCTGTTGCCACTCACTGCTCACTTCTCAAAGAACTTTCTATAAAGGAGTGTGGGAACATGAAGGAAATTGTAGCAGAGAAGGAAGGATCCATGTGCACAACTCCCATATTTGAGTTTAATGAACTAAATACTCTATTGCTTTGGAACTTATACAAACTCAAGGGTTTCTACGCTGGAAATTATATTTTAGCATGTTCATCTTTGAGAAAAATAGATGTTTTTAGGTGTGCAGAATTGAATTTATACAAGACTCTATCTACAAGTACTGATGGAAGGTTTCTAGATGGTAAACACCCTGATACTCTGCGGCAGTCACTTTTCAGAGTTGAAGAGGTATGTATCATATGAAATTGCATGGAAACTACATTATGTCTGATTTTGTGTTCTTATCATGAAATTCCAGAAAATATGGCTGTATCCGACAGTCGCATATATTGACAGTTTTTAAGATAAAACCTATAAGCTACCATGAAATAGTGGTAGATTGGACATTAAATGACTCAATGGATCTGCTAGTTTTCACAATTGTAGAAAACTGGAATTTTAATACTCCAGTTACTTTTGAAAATTAGGTAAAAACAATAGTTAAAATTCTTAGAAAGTATTACATTTCTAAATGTGACCACAAAAATTTAAGAGGAAAAATATTGGAATCTTTTAATATCGGAAGTCATTTAAATTAAACCAAGTTGCATTTAAATAAAAAAAAATCTTTTTTTATTTTTTCAAAAATCATATGGGCAAAAAATTGAGAACTTTTTGCATCAGGAGTGATTTGAATATCATACTTTATGAGAGGTATTTGATTATAATGTAGACAGGCATAAATGGTTTTAGATGAAACTGAGGACTGGACACTAGTAATGGTAAAAAAAAATGGAAAGTACAATGGCAGCATAGACTACTGAGTCAAAAGTAAATATTCTTTTTTTCTTTTTTTGCATCAAAAGTAAGTATTAATTTATTTTAAATTGTTCTTCATTTATGTTTTAGATGATTCCAAATTTGGAGTGGTTGAGAATAAGCTACATGGACGCTATCAAGATACTGCAAGCAAAAAAATTTGGTGCCCTCTTCACCAAATTGACATTTCTTGGGCTGACCGATTGTAAGTATGAAGATGCTTCTTTTCCCGATTGGTTTCTCCAAAATGTGTGTACTCTTGAACATCTAGTTGTTGAATGGAGTTGCTACAAGAAGATATTCCTAGATGAAAGACTATTAAGTAAAAAACCTTACCCACGGCTCAAAAAGTTGACATTGTCTCAATTACCTAAACTTCAACATCTCTGTGAAGAAGGATCCCAAATTGACCCAGTTCTTCAGATTCTTGAATTCTTATTTGTTAAAGAATGTCCTAGTTTGACAAACTTGTTACCTTCCTCTGTTACCTTTAGTCACTTGATGTATTTGGAGATAATGAATTGCAATGGATTGATAAGTTTAATTACTTCTCCTACGGCGAGAAGTTTAGTCAAACTGGCAATATTGAAGGTAAAAGAGTGTAATTCACTTGAAGAAATAATGATAGGAAAGGGAGAAGAATATGACATTGCATTTATTAGTTTGGAAATATTGATGTTGGAAAGTTTGCCAAGTCTCAACAAATTTTGCTCTAATAAGTGCTTTTTGAGGTTTCCATTATTGGAGCAAGTAGTTGTGAAGGAATGTCCTCGCTTGAAGATTTTCTCCATGGGAAACACAAGCACACCAAATCTTCGAAAAGTGAAAGTAGCAGAAAATGAAGAAGAATGGAATTGGAATGGGAACTTAAATGATACAATAAAGAAAATGTTTGTAGATAAGGTATGTTTTGATTTACCAATTGATTTCATGTGTAATAATAAATCAATGCATTAGTTTTATTTAAATTAACTAAATAGAATTGTTTACACAGGTGGCATTTTGTTGCTTCATGAATTTGAAACTATCTGAATATTTAGAGCTGAAAGAGTTATGGTGTGGTCAACTGCATTGCAATGCATTCAACAATTTGAAGTATCTAGTGGTTCAAAAATGTGATTTTTTATCTGATGTACTCTTTCATGCAAATTTACTACAAGTATTCATGAACTTGGAAGAGCTAGACATAAGTGTTAGATATTTAAGTGTGATGAGTCTCACATTGGTTGTTAATGGACTAAGTAAAGTACATATAAGTAGGAGGACTTATGAACCCAATGCCTTAAGGTTTTAGGTTGTGACACAGTGTACGACTCACCTGGTGTGGTTGGTCAGCCCTCTAGACCCACCTGACAGTGGTATCTGGGTACTCGGAGTTGAGGGAGAGCACATCAATGGTAGGTTTCACACTTGAGGGGGAGATTGTTAAAATATTCAAGTGTGACGAAGTCCCACATTGATTGGTAATGGATTAAGTGAAGTCTATATAAGTGGGAGGACCCCTTACGACATGGTGTCAGACCCACTCTGTGTGATTTTCTAGCTTGTTCATTGGCGGTGATCCCTCTCCGTGGGTTCCCTATGGACCCCGACAATAAGGGTCTGTTAATGTGAAATCTTAACATGTCTCTTGCGACTCCGAATAGCTAGATATAAGTTGCATCTTAGGGATCTTGAAGTACATGAATGTGGGTTGAAGAAATTATTGCCAAGGGAGAACGAGATGAGGAGAAAATTAAATTCGAGTTCCCTCATTTGACATCCCTTCAACTTAAGCATTTGCCAAAACTCAAGGCTTTCTTTACTGGGATCCATTCTCTTCAATGTAAATCCTTGAAAACAATAATGGTGTTCAAAGGGATCCTGTCTTAATTTTTTTTTTTTCAATTTTGTGTTGATTTCATCAAAAAGAATTTTTTTCAAAATATTTATCCTAGCAAAAAGCACATTTCTTCTATTGTCTCCATCTGGTGAGAAAAACAATTTTTCACTTGGGCTGATTGGTCATTTACATTTTTGTTGATATTCTATTTAGTACTAAGTTTATTCATTCTTTTGTTGAGAGTAGAAAAGGAAAATATAGATTTCTTCAGTTCTAATTTTGGTCATGCAACAGGTACTTCTTAATGCAGAGTTGTTGACGCTGAATAATAAAGATTTTGACATCTTATTGCAATGTCAATATTCAGGAGATCAATTTCGCAAACTTAAATCTATTTGGGTGTCCCAATTCACTGATGAAGAAGCTCCTTTTCCGTATTGGTTTCTAGAAAATGTACCCAATTTGGAAGAGCTAGGGGTTCAATGGAGTTCTTTCAGAGAGATATTCCAAGATGAACAACTTAATGGTGAGGAAAGACAAATCAAAATTAGGACAATGCCAAGAGAGTTGACATTACATAAACTACATAAACTTAAACATATATGCAAAGAAGGATTCCAAATTGACCCCATTCTTCAATGTCTTGAAAGCATACATGTTTCTGAATGTTCCAGTCTGATAAATTTGGTGCCTTCCTCTGTTGCTTTTAATTACTTGACTAATTTGGAGATCACAAACTGCATTGGGCTGATAAATTTGATATCATGCTCAACAACAAAGAGTCTGGTGAACCTGGAAACAATGAAGATAAAATGGTGCGATTTATTAGAGGATGTAGTGAGTGGAAAAGAAGATGAGACAAACAATGAGATTGCATTTTTCAAATTGCAAACTCTGGAACTTATTTGTTTACCAAGGCTCTGTAGGTTCAGCTCATGTAAGTACATCATTAAGTTTTCACTGTTGGAAGAAGTTGTGGTAAAAGAATGCCCTCAAATGGAAGTTTTTTCTTTGGGGGACACGAGCACACCGAATCTTCAAGGAGTACAAATAGAAGAAAATAATGAAGAATCAAGCTGGGAGGGTGACCTGAATGAAACAATAAAGAAAATGTTTGAAGATAAGGTATGCTGTGATTTAATAATTGATTTCCTATGTAACAATAAATCACCCTCTCTTTTGCTGTTTTTCTCTGCTTTGGAGTCTGGATGGTTGATTTTTAAGTTTCAAACATAATAAAATTTGAAGAGAACCAACAGATTTTGGATTATATCTGGGTATGCCAATCTTCTACAGAAAAAAGGAAAGCAAAAGAGAGACATAAATCCACATTCTAAATCATCATTACTCTTCTTTTCTACAGGGTAACAACCATTGATTTACTATGTTAAAATTAATAATCACATGGCTATTGGCTAAAATTGCTTTTTTGTTTAAATGTTTACTTCAATCGAAATTTCATTACAACAAGATCTCCTTTTCTACAATTATAAAATCTTTTAAAAGCTTGGAATTTCAACTTAACCCATGCATTCTTGTTGTTACTAGTGTGGCCTATTATTTATCTAGATTTTCCAATTAACTTCCTCATTTGAATATATAAAACATTCTTTCTCCTAATTTGGAATTCAAAAGGCTAAATGTTAAACGAGTTTAGATACATATCTATAATTTCAATTGAGTAAAATCTGCAGCCTTACCTTTTTTTCATCTAACTCAATGCAATCGTTTATACAGGTTGCATTTTGTAGTTTTAAGCATTTGAAGCTATCTGAATATCCTGAGCTAAAAGAATTATGGTATGGCCAACTTCAGTGCAATGTATTCAGCAAATTAAGACATCTAGTGGTTCATAAATGTGACTTTTTATCTAAAGTACTCTTCCAGCTGAATTTACTAGAAGTTCTTAAGAACTTGGAAGAACTAGATGTAAGAGAATGTGATTCATTAGAAGCAGTGTTTGATGTGAAAGGTAAATCTGAAACAGATGTTCGAGTGACGAATTCTATTCAGTTAAAAAAACTAAAATTATCTACTCTTCCGAAGCTGAAGCACGTGTGGAAGGAAGAAGACCCACATGGAACTCTGACTTTTCAGAATCTATGTGAAATATCTGTTACTAAATGTAAAATCTTAACAAGTCTTTTTCCACTCTCGATAGCTAGAGAGATGATAAATCTTCAAGATCTTGAAGTACGTGCATGTGGGGTTGAAGAAATTGTTGCCAAGGAAGGAGGAACAGAGGAGATAATTAACTTTGAGTTTCCTCATTTGACATCACTTGACCTTTCACATTTGCCTAATCTGAAGGCATTCTTTAATGGGATCCATTCTCTTCAATGTAAATCCTTGAAAGCAATAAAAGTGTTCAATTGTAAAAAATTGGAGCTATTTAAGACACAGCCTATGAGCTATGAAGAAAGAGCTGGAGATGACAAACTCCATGTCTCATCTAATCAACCTTTCTTCACAATTGAACAGGTATGAGTAGCACTAAATTTTATCCTTGCTGTGGTGATTATTATGTGCCTCAATTTTACTGTTTTTTCATTTTTAAATTGATTTTGGCAAAGAATTTTTTTCAAAATATCAACACTATTTATAGAAGAAAACAATCCTCTTCAATTGTCCCGTAAGTAAAACATTATTTTTTTAATATCTACACTAAATATATACTTTTTAATTTTAGAACTGAGAAAGAAAATATAGATTTCTTCACTTTTAGTTTTGTTTATGCCATAGGTACTTTCTACTTTGGAGATATTGACGATGAATAATAAAGATTTTGACGTCATATTGCAAAGCCAATATTCAGGGGAGCATTTCACCAAACTTAAAGTTATTAGGGTGTACCAATTCACCGATAAAGAAGCTACTTTTCCGTATTGGTTCCTAAAAAATGTACCCAATTTGGAAGGGCTAGCGGTTGAATGGAGTTCCTTCAGGGAAATATTCCAAGACGAACCACTTATAGGTGAGGAAAGACAAGTCAAAATTAGCACATGCCCAAGACGGTTGTCATTATATGATCTACATGAACTTCAACATATATGTAAAGAAGGATTCCAAATTGACCCCATTCTTCGGTGTCTTGAATTCATGTATGTTTGTCAATGTTTCAGTCTGATAAATTTGGTGCCATCCTCTGTTTCCTTTAACAAATTGACCTGTTTGGAGGTAGAAAATTGCTCTGGGTTGATAAATTTGATAGCATGGTCAACAGCAAAGAGTTTGGTCATGCTCACAACAATGAAGATAAATGGGTGCAATTTACTAGAGGATGTAGTGAATGGAAAGGAAGATGAGACAAACAATGAAATTGCTTTTTTAAGTTTACAAACTCTGGAACTCATTAGTTTACCAAGGCTCCGCAGGTTTTGCTCATGTAATTGCTTCATTAAGTTTCCGTTGTTGGAAGAAGTTGTTGTAAAAGAATGTCCTAGAATGGAGATTTTTTCTTTGGGAGACACAAGCACACCAGACCTTCAAAATGTACAAATAGAAGAAAATAATGAAAAATCTCGTTGGGAGGGTGACCTAAATAAAACAATAAAGAATATGTTTGAAGATAAGCTAAGGTATGTGTTGATCCACCAATTCATTTGCTTTTCATTGATTTAAGACTACCTCTATTATGATTCTGTGAGTGGAGAAATTATATTAGAAGACTATGATAAACATAAATGATTAAATATCTCTTGAAAATTCTTATGATTTGTCTCTTTGTATATCAATTTGATTGAACAGGTTACATTCTACAGATCCCAACATATGATCCTGTTTGAGTACCCACAACTGTAGAATTTGTGGTATGACCAACTTCATCATAATATGTTTTGCAATTTGAACTCTAGTGGTGCAGCGATACAATTTTTTATACTGTGGTATTTTTTTTCTCAAATCTACTGCAAATTTCGAAGAAGACTGCCATTTCAATATGGATTTGTTCCCTTGGATATGTTCCTAGTCAAGGCCGTCTTGGTGATTCCACTCTCTTTTTCTTGCAGTTTTTATATCCTATGTGTTGCCTTTGACCAAAGAACATCCTTCGTCAGTTAACAATTTCTTTCTCTCTTCTTAGTTCTGACAAGGATATTCTAGTCCAAATGGTTACTCCCAAGTTGTTTTAGGATATTGGAGTCAATTTAATTTGCAGTCATTTTGGATCATGTCATTGGTTTAAACCAAGTCAAAGAACGTAAGCATATGAGAGTAGATTTTGTAATTTATCAAGTTATATAAGCAGTTAGCTCAAGTTATCAATTAAAGAAAATTAATAATCATGCTCTTAAAGAAAACCTTTAGAGGAAAATTATGAAGTGAGGAGTTTTCAGCAGATATCCTGTTTTATTCATCATTAGTGGAGTTACAATATTCAGTGTAGCCTGCAAAATTTTCAGATACACCACCAATCTTTGTTTGCACTCTTTACTTAATGGCTGGCTTATTTAGGTTCTAATTGTTAAACCTTTATAGCTTTTGGCTAATACTTTCTGATGAGTAGCTTCAATTTCTTGGTGTAGGATGTTCTTTTGTCTACGTGTAATCTAATATGAGCCAGATAGTGGTAGCGTAATTTCAGTGAACTTCAAGTTGTTTGTGATATATAATTGATAGCTTCTTTAATTACCACTATATGCTCATAAATTCTGAAATTTCCTTCTCCAAGCATTGCTTTTGCTTTGAACAAGAACAGCCATTTGTTTTAGCTTTTGAGTGTGTTATTGTGTGATTGTACAATGGCAGCTCTACTATATCAGTGTGTACACAGCTGCTCTGACGGAACTAACATCTGAGATTTTGGAGCTAATGGCAGAAGGTCCGGGGTCTCAGATACATCAGTTTTCAGCAGAGAAAGAAAAATCATAAAAGAAAACATAAGTTAATAGTGAAATTATATAATAAACTATAACTATTCATTTGTTGATCTACGAAATAATTTCTTTTCATTAATTTAAGGTTGTCTCTATTCTCTTTATGTCGGTTTTTTTTTACCATTGTAGCCCTTATGTAATAATTAATTACCAAATTGACCTCGATTAGAAACTATTTCAAAAAATTAACCCTTCAAAAAAACATAACACCAATCTGCTCCTGTTTGACCGTTGACCACCAAGCCTACCCGGGTATCCCCCTACCTACCCGGGTATATTTTGAAATTTTTTATCTACCCGGATAGGAAGTGGGGTACCCGGGTATATTTTTTGAATCTGAAAAAATGTTTGAATTATTTACCCGGGTAGGAAGGGGGGTACCCGGGTAAATAATCCAGATTGAAAAATAAGCAAAGATGGTGCCATGCCAACTGAAGAACAACAACTCCAAATTGAAAATGCCAAACTCAAAGCTGAGGTTTGTGTCCACAAAACTCAAAAACATAGGTTATAATTACTTTTCTGATTTTTTTTATATATAAAATCCAGATTGAAAATTTACACTCTTAAAACATTTGTAGGTAGAGAAATATACCCGGGTACGCAATTGTCGTTGTCTTCGGTGCCTACCTCAGAAGTTGCAGTCTTCGGTCATCAAAGCTCAATGTCACGTGAAATGTTAACATTAAAAATAAAACAAAACCAAAACCTGACCTATTATACAGAGCAACTTAACAAAAAAGAGGTCTCAAGAATAAGATAGTTTGATCGTTGCTGTAGAGAGAAATGGCATGGCACCATCTCTGCTTGTTTTTCAATTTGGATTATTTACCCGGGTACCCCCTTCCCTACTCGGGTAAATAATTCAAACATTTTTTCAGATTCAAAAAATATACTCGGGTACCCCCCTTCCTACCCGGGTAGATAAAAAATTTCAAAATATACCCGGGTAGAGAGGGGGGTACCCGGGTAGGCTTGGTGGTCAACGGTCAAACAGGGGCAGATTGATGTTATGTTTTTTTGAAGGGTTAATTTTTTGAAATAGTTTCTAATCAAGGTCAATTTGGTAATTAATTATTACATAAGGGCTACAATGTTCAAAAAGCCCTTTATGTCTCTATTCTCTTGATACATCGATTTGATTGAACAAGTTGAATTTTACATATTGCAATGTTTGAACCTGTCTGGATACCCACAGTAATAAAATTTGTGGAATGGAACATTTCATCGTATGTTTTGCAATTTGAAATCTTCAGTGGTGCACAGATGTGATTTTTGATCATATGGTCTTTTTTCACTAAATGTACTGCAAATACTCATGGATTGGAATAGCTTACAGTAGGAGATTCATTCATTAGAAACAATGTTTAATGTGGAAGGTGTAAGTCTAGAGAAATATTGGTGAAGCAAACTACTCAATTGTTAAGATTAATTTTGACTAGCTTACCAAAATTGAAGAACATATTAACGAAGACCCTAAAAATATTACCTTTGGAAACTTATGCATGATAGATTTTTTTCTTTTCTTGGAATGCCATGAAAATATGTCCATTGGTATGTTTTAGAAAAAAAAAAATTCTTAAAACTTATTAAATATGTTTTCATCGTCACTATAGAATTTCAAAGAAAATCTGTCTGTATGTTTTAGTTAGATGATGGAGTAGTGATTACATAACAAAAGAGTTTCAGCAAACGTAGCCACTACTTTAACAGTTTCCTATTTACCGAACTATTCTACACTATTAACATAAAATAGGACATAATGCATTACAGTGTTGAACAAGAATACTTCACATGAAAATAAGAGTGCACAACTGCACATGCTTGATAGGCTAGGATTCTGCACACTGTGGTTCTGTTATTCTTCTTCAAAGCAAGCTGTTAAAATTTAACATGCTGTCAAAGTTAACAAGCTACTGTTATTAGAAAACAATATACTTTATGTCATAAAGAGCATTATAAACTGTTCGTTGTCAATAAATTAATACATTATATGCTAATGTTAAATATTTTTCAAAATAACCCCCAAGGGTAGCTCAGTTGGCAGCTGAGCTCCTAAGGAATTGCTTGGTGCAGGAATCAAACTCTGCCTCAAGCAGTTTCTTGAAAAATATTTGGGGGCCAGAGGATAAGCCAAAAATCTTCGGTTGGGGGATTAGTTTCGTCCTTTCTCCGGTTGCGAAGCTTAGTGCACCCACTGTTACAATGAAGGACTAGCCCAAACGGGCCGTACCCCGAGGGCATGGTGCCCGGAGAAGGTTGAATGGGGATACCTCCTGCCAATGTACCAAAAAAAAAAAATATTTTTCAAAGTAAGTTAGGGAGCTTTTATACACATGGTTTGCCTTAATATATTATATGCTATTTTTTGTTATAAAATATTAATTTATGGATGACTTGAATTTTAAATTATGTAACCGTTGGCACTAATGTTACAATTATCCCTCGTTTATGTTTGAGACCACCACACTAATAAAACATTAACTCCCCATTCATGGGTTTTTAGAGAAAAGTATATTTTGAGACATCAAGATGTTTATAATATTGGTTTGTTGATCTAGTTTTGTCGTAGAGCATTTTTTTTTTAAAATATTCATTTTGATAACACTCGCGGGGAAGGGAAATTAAAACCCAACCTTCTTTTTCCACTGTTTTGAACACATTTTTTTTTACCAAATTGTTTTACCCAATTTGGTAATTCTGAACTTTTGTTTTATGACTTGAAAAAACTTCCTGAAAAAAAAATTCCCAGTAGTTAATTCTTAAATAGTTTACTTTCTGCATCCATTTTATTCCCAATACTACAAAAAAACCCTTTCAGAAATAGATTTCTAACATTAAGTTTTAGTCCATCAATTTTAATTTTATTTTAAACTTTTCTTTATAACAAATGCAAAATCTCTTTCATGTAATGGGAACGGTAATCGGGTTTTAATTACGATGCATATACTTGTGCAATTCTTGCATGAATGTTAGCAAGGCAACAAGTATCAAGTCATCAAACATCTTAAACAAAGAATAGCTGCAGCAAAAAGTTCAATCACTATCAAAGGGAAAGTAGCAATATGGTTAAAAGTCCAAATAAAAGCATGGAATATCATATCAATCTTGAAAAAGGCTTTCCGTTTATAATGCCCGTGCAGATATCCAACAAGGAGCAATTAAAAAGAATGTGATATGCAGATATACACGCATTGATGGTAAATCCAGGGATATTGTTTATGAAGGTATTGATTTGATATGTAATGAATATAGGAAGTATGGTCATAGAGATGCGGCTTGTCCTCTCAAGAAGCCAGCTCCTGTGAAAGCTGTTAGAGAGGAATGACGTGTTGTGGGAAAGAAGCACCAGGTTTTTCCTCAAGCTATAGATGCTGGTGCACCAAGTGAGTTATTAACTTATAAAGAGAAATTTGTTGTGTAACCACAGGCCACAGATCATGGGCCTGTCAGAGTGGCTGAGAATTCCTTTGCAGTGCTGAAGAAGGTTGTAGAGGAGTTAGATTTGAGTGATGAAGGTGGTGGAGGAGGTTTGATCCCCTTTTTCAGGCTCCTCTTTTGTGCCTGAACAAGCAGAAATTCCTGCTGGTATTGCAGATGAGTTGTTTGCTAAAGGTCTAGACGTGTCTATTGTAATATCTCCGTCTCGAGCCGGTTCAATTAACATACCTATGGTACAAAAACATACATCAACGGAAGTCTTAACATATAATTTATCTCCGTCTCGAGCCGGTTTAATTAACATAAGTACAAAAACATACATCAACGGAAGACTTAACTTATAATCTTGCATTAACTTACAAATATACGACCTAACTTTTTTTCTTCTTTTCTTTATTTCGTTTCACATGATATATAGCATTATATCCTTTCTTTCTTATCCATCATAATTCCTTTTCTAAATATTCATCTTTCATCAATGACTATACGCAATGGTCCTTGACCATCCGAATATGACAACCAGTATCAATCCATATGGAGTCTAAAATCGGACAGTGTAACGGCTGTAAACCGAACAAATGGGGATTAAATCCCTCTCTCATAATCCACACCTGATAAACATATCATCTTAAACATATCATATTAACATATATTGTCCAACAACGGATCTAATGCCCATCCATGGGCGTATTCATAATTGACTCCATGCCACAAAGTCTAATAGCGTACATGACTCAACACAAGCACATATTTGAACACTACATTATCATATAACGTGCATGAGTATACGACTGTACATGCATCAAAACAGAAAACATGTATAAAACATATATAGTATAATGGATCAGACATCATGATCCCAACCTGAATAAAATACGAATAAGCAATAATACATGTCCTCCAAAATAATGGCAGCATAATGCTACCCAAAGATCATGTCTCTACACAGTGATAACGAATCATCCAGAATACACATCTCCATTACGACACCTCTAGCCACGGGTCGTATCCTTGTCCCATGAAGGCTCACATGCAATCTGTACACCTGAAATGATGTCCCCAAACGGGGTGAGATAACAAGTCTCAATAAGCTCCAAGTTTATAGAGAATTCTCCATACCCTGGACTCACTCCTGCATGAAAGTCAGATACAGAGTATACAAGGCATCATATAAACAAATATCATAATTGAACAAAGCATATACACATATCTTATCAGAGATGTACGCAGTCATTTCCAAGGGAGGACCCCAAGCGGAACTCAGCGCACGAGTTCCCAAGGGAGGACCCCGAGCGGAACTAAACACATATCAGAGGTATACACAGTCAGTCCCAAGGGAAGAACCCAAGCAGACATCAGTTCCCATAGAATCAATGGCCAAAGATCATTATGAAAATCACATCAGAACAAAACATATCATATTATCATATAGTTCTATATGAATGCATCTATACAAAGCATCAAATACAATCATACAATTCAACCATAGTCCACTAACCATGGTGGAGCACACAAGTAAGGGAAGACTCCTTAAACATAGAGCTTACCTTATAGAAGCTTTACCAGTGCTTACTTGTTTATAAAGAAAGCTAAAACTTCCCTTCCAATGTTTGATCCACAATCACAGAGTCTCTAGATATAGACCTAGAGGAGGAATCAATGTCAAATATTTATTTAATAGATCAATCGTCAAGTATAATTTCAATATATTCACACTTGTATGATTCCTTTACTTCACATATATGACATACCAATTGGTTTAATGTCATTCACCTTATCATAATCTTACTTCGCATATTCATATACCAATTACATGTCAATAACAAGTCATTACTAATCCTTTCAAAACTTAACATGTGGGACTATAACTAGGTGATTACTTGTGGAACAAGCAACCAAATGGTTTCACTTACATACCTACACTAGGAGTGACCCAAGGGTGTATCCTAGGTACCAATTGATAATCAACAAAGTCTTTAAGCCCACAAATGCCTATATATGGCTGAAGCCATAGGCATAGGCACCATTTGCCTTTCACACCTCAATTCATCATAACTTAACCTATTAGCTTAGACAATGTGCAAGGTGTAACACCCCGTATATATCCGGCAATGTTATCATAATATCGTATTAAGCTGCGCTTAATTAAAAATGCGGAATTACTTTTTCTTTTCAATTATGATGCCATTAACATTACCAGCTTGCTTAATAATCAATTAATAAAACATCGCCTGTATGTAATTGCAATAAAACAGCTAACTAAAATACCTCATAACATAGATAATATAAGTGTGGCTCTAGTCACGGAACTACAACAATGTAGACCGGACCATCTGACAGTTTATACAACTCCAAACTACAAGTGCTAACAGGAAGTGTCATGGACAATCCCCATGCTCACTCAAATAAGGCAACATGCCCAACATCAGTCTCAACAACAACATATCATAAATAGCGAAAAACATAAACAACATCTCAAATCCAGTCATGCTAATATAAAGCAGTAAAGCATAATCAGCTAAGCTCCGGCCTCCTGCCGCCTGAGGCATCAGTACCCATACTACCTGATCCTGAAATAAACATTCCCCAAACGTGGGGTAAGATCTCTAATCTAGAAATCTCAGTAAGTCAGTGAGTCCTCAAGGATCTTCCACCCCAAGCTCACTTACATGTGTAATATAAGTTCAAAAACAGTTTATCATTTCTAAAACAATGCAATGCAGCAGATAATCATGCCATGTGTGTCAATACTAATCTACTGGCCAGAGACAGTGCAGGTATACGTCTATCACCTACACACCGTGCAAGTACCACTTGCATTCACCCCGGTACACCGTCTTGTATGGCGCTACATACTCAGGCTTCCCGTCAAGATGAAACAACACATGCATATTAAAAGCCATTACATGTAAAGTTCAATCAACATATCAAATATCCAAAAGCATGTAAACAGCATGCATAAACCATACCCCCATGGGACATGGTGGAACCACAACATGGCTAAACCGAGGACACGAAAGCTTACCTTGCAAGCTAACTCCAAAACACAAGAGTCCACAGCTCAAAGTCCAAACACAGCAGATTCACAATCTGTTATGGACCAACAATACATCAACAACATGCACCACAAGCATACAATATTAAGACAACGCATTTTCATTACGTTTTCAAGTCTTAAAGCTTCTAACAAAGTCACAATCCCTTAATCCCATGATTCTGGCTTAGTCCATTAAAAACAGAAGTTCAACTTCATCAATCTAGGGTCTACAAACCCCCAATAGCCTACTGTATGCACAACACAGCTACTGTTCTGCGAAATCCCAGAATATCCGGATATTCCTCGGGACCATATCCGGATATGCAATATCCGGATATCTCACTGGACATATCCGGATATGCAATATCCGGATATCCAGAATCCCATATCCGAATATCTAATATCCAGATATCCCAAAACCCCATATCCGAATATACATATCCGGATATCATATCCGGATATCCCATATCCGGATATTCCACAGGCCGATATCCGGATATTTCACGACAGAATGCAGTTTCTGCATTTTCGTGAAGATATCCTTCCAAGGTTGGGTTTTTACCGATTTTAAACACCTAAACATGCATTTCTAGGTGTGTTCAACATTACCCCACAACAAGTTATCATCTTTTAACCTTAACATGCATCAAGCTTTCATTTTTAAGCATTAAACTCAAGATCAAAGGTTGGTAATCATACCACAACTCAAAAACAGCAGAGGGAGGTGCTCTTGGAGCTCACTAGAAGCTCCCACAGTTCTGACTTCACAAGGCTACGAAAATACACTTCAAGCTTGTCCCTTTATGCCAAAAGGTGGCTTCTTGAAGCTCAAGAAGCCAAGAACAAGGCTACACAACCCAAACTCAGAACAAACAGCCCCAAAAACGTCCCACAAACAGCAAGCATCAACTCAAAAAGCTCCACCACCCCCTCACAATGCTCTCAAGCTTAGTGTTTACAACTCTCAAGAAGAAGACTCACAACAAAGATGGCTTCTTGGTCCCTTTTCATGAGCAAAGGCCAAGACTTTCAAGAGAGAAGAGAAGGCTGGAGAGAATCAGCAAAAGAGTCACGTAGAGGATGAGTATGGCCTAGGGTTTTGTGCCCTTAGGCTTATATAGGTCGACTTAACACTAACCACACTGTGTTAACTTTAATTGCTACGCTTAGCATTTTAATCCCAAACTTTGGATTCTGAAACTACACATTTTTCCAAGAATTTACATATTTTTCTTATAATTTTTTGAGCACTTTTCCGGTACGCGCTTTTCCAAGCCAGTACCGGTTTCCAGCACCATTTCTCATTATCTGGACTTGAAACTCGCTTTACAAGTCCTACATATTATTCTAGTAATTATCATGCACTTACATTAATTTTCCGGGATACTTTTTCGGCACACATTTATACCGACTAGCAGAACCGGTATCTGCACTTTTCTTCCGAAAAGTGACTTTCAGCATTCTTAATCACTTTTTACGATTATTAAAGTCTCAAAATAATTATTAGGGTCAATTATGGAATTATTTCCTAATTTCACATAATTAATTAATTAAATCCCTTAATTAACGGTGCAAGTTCTTACATTCACCCCACCTTTTTAGGATTTTGTCCTCAAAATCAGAAAACATACTTGTCCCGAAGCACGGGATACTGCTAGAGAAACTCGTCCTCTCGCTTCCAGAATTACCCTTCAGGAATTCTCCCCGTTCAACGTGCTCTGACCATCGAAATGATCTTGCTTCTCAGCTGCTTCTCGCCACAATCGAGAATCTTTAGTGGTCCTACGGGAGTCTTTAAGTTCTCCCGAACTTCCACATCATCCGGTTGCACCACGTGCGAAGGATCCGCTACAAACTTGCGAAGTTGAGACACGAAAAACGCGTCTTGGGTGCTGTCCAAGTTCGAAGTCAAGGCAAACTGGTAGGAAAAGATCCTACTCTACCACGTAACTGGTATGGCCCAAAGAACCGCGGGCTCAGTTTCCTCACTCCATGTGCCCGAACAACACCAGTGACAGTGAAAGCTTGACAAACATGTGCTCACCCTTACCGAACTTCAGTGAACGATGCTCAACATCAACGTAGTCCTC